GTAAAAATAATTTTCGGTTTCTTCCCGAATGGCGACATGCCACCGCGCAGCTGGGTCTGCGAGAACGCATTTCCAACCTGTTCTTGACGAAGACCGTGCAAGATATCCGCCAAAGAACCACTTCCGCCTGGAGGAGCGCCAGCCAAATCGGGTACAGGGTACTCAAGGCCTCGCTGAATGATGGAGGGTTGGCGAGAAGGAACCCTGTCACAGACAAACTCTGTGCTCGCAGCAAGCGAGTCGCTGTCTATAGGCGCTTTTGGAAAAGGACTGCAAACATTGCTGTAACGCCATGGCATTGCATCAGAGGTTACAAGCCATGTAAATCGTTTAGACACCATCTCAACTATGACTAACCTAACCAGCCATAGTGCACCCATAGTAAGTTCTTGGTATACATCGGATATCAGGTGCGCAGGTGAAACTGACACATGCTCCAGCAAGCCCATTCAATTCACGTCCCAATCTAGATGTGCGAATCCGGAACTCTCTGCACCCAACGCTCGATACATCGGCTTACATCTGCTGCCAAGACCCTCTCACATGCTCTCGCCTTCCGTTCCACCCCATGACCCGTGAGAGTAACGATCGGCATGGAGCAGTGAGCAGAGCAGATACTTTTGTCGAGTGCCCAAGGGCTGTTCTCAGCAAAAAACGGGTCCGGATGCATCATGCCAATGGCTCAGCCATTGCAAGGCGCATCGCCAACCAGCTTTATGTTTCGGCCGCTTGTGAGCAAGCGGGCAAGAGCCGGCTGGTCTGGTCTGACCCCGACAAGCTTGAATCACGAAGTTGCTGTTGTTGCAAAAATGCTCGTTAGAGCTTGATCACTGAATTCTTTGCGAGGAACGCAGAGTAGGTTAATTTGCGTCATGGTGAGCAGCTGACATGCTTGTTGAAGCCAGGTGCTACCGTCCATGCTCACTCTGCGCTCAACTACCTCAATAGCTCATTCTCCTCCTCTGACACGGTCGGTGCCGGAGACACCTTCACACACCAAAAACCATGCTCAGGGTCTCAACAATGCTCACTTTGGTCTCATGGCCTTCCGCTGGTGAACATGTACGTGGCTGCCAGAAGCCTGGCGCAGGGGAAGTGATCTTGAGCTGTCCATCGATGCGCGGATGCTTCACAACACACAGGAAGCCCGTGTTTATTTCATTGCAAAATCGTGCAGGAAACGAGGGTTCACCCACTCGGTGTTAACACTCTCGGGCCGGGTTTCTGCTGCGCCGTCGGGGTTACCTAGTTGATCTGACAGCTGAGCGTTGAGCCCTAGACCCCAGATCCCTGTTCCACACGGTTTAGGGTTTAGGGCGGTTTAGGATTCGGCTTTGGGCCCTTCGTTACGCCTGGGGTGTAAGGTTTTGGTGTTTATCCTTGATGGCGTAGTATAACCTGCCCCCCAAACCCGCCTAAGCAATGCCAACACCAAAGGCTAGCACACCACAGACCCTAGCCGCTTTCAGGTGTAAGTTTTACTGTTGAAGCCCCTTCCCGTAGGGATCCGAGTACTACGGACCTCAAGCAAAGTGAAACATATTTAGAAGGGCTTTTTAACAGCACATTCGCCTAATCCCAAACCCTATTCCGAAACCCCCTCAAGAGGCCTGGTGAGTTCCTAAACCCTTAAACCCCAAACCCTAAACCCCAAACCCTAACCCTAAACCCTAAACCCTAAACCGCTTGAGGAAGCCTGAAAGGAAGCCTTGAAGGAAGCCCAAACCCTAACCCTGTCTCCACCCCGGCGAGTCGGCAGAAGCCGGCTGATCTGCCAGAATTCGCTTGAGAGCTTGCGCCTTGCGCGCAGCTTTTTCCGACGACGATGGGTTTAGGGGTTAGGGTGTAAGGGTTTAAGGGTTTAGGGTTTAGGGTTTAGGATTTAGGGTTTAGGGTGTAGGCCTTCAGGGTTTACGGTTAAGGGCCTTAGATGGGGTATAGGGCTGTAGGATTTTCGGGTTGAGGGTTTAGGGTTTCGGGCTCCGGGTTGGGGCGCGGCGTAAGAATCTGGGGTTCAGTTTTGCGGATTTAGGTTTAGGGTTTAAGGGTTTGGGGTTTGGGGTTTGGGGTTTAGGGTTTAAGGGTTTGGGGTTTAAGGGTTTGGGGTTACGGTTTAGGGTTTAGGGCCATAGGTGCAGTAATCAGAACTGCAATTGCGGTTGTAAAGCAATGGAGCTATGGGTCTAAAGTTCAGTGTTTCGGGTGTTGGACTGATAGGCCGCAATGCAAGGTGACACATGCTTGATAGAATTGGGTTTAGGGTTTAGGGTTTAGGTGATACACATAAAACCATAGAAAGCATCGTGGCGTTGTTGCGTCGGAATTATGACTATTCTCGCTCATTGAGAGCATTGCTTGCATTAAGAATTTTCGGGGAGGCTTGTAAATTTGGGATAGTTTGGAAGCCAGAACAGTTACATATATTCTTGATTTCGGCTCCTTATCGAAAAGGCGCAACACACACCAAAACCCAATTCTATCTATGAGGGCTCCGACAATCCAAGATAAAGCTCGGAACTGCCTGATAGAACCCTTGTAAGTAAGACCTTCAGAGAAGCCCTTTTTTAAGTGCTGAAGCCCTTGTAGAAGCCTCATATAAAATAACGCTTAAGAACTTGGTTCTAGTCTTGAGGGCTTTAAAGCTCTAAACTCTAAACTCTAAACCCTAAACCCCTAAACCCCTAAACCCCAACCCCTAAACCCCTAAGCCCCTAAACCCTAAACCCTAAACCCTAACTCCCTGAACCCTAAATCCCTAAACCCTAAACCCGGCACCCCCAAAGCCTTAGCCGAAGAGGCCTCCTTGCTGAGTGGGTCAACAG